ACAATTACATGATGTATTATTCAGGTAATGAAAACATACAAGGAAATGGCATGTGAATGATATTCAAAAATCTAATAAGTATGTGCTTAGTTATAGCCCAGGAAACAATGCCATAATATCTATTATTATTAATGGGTGATAAATCTATTCAACATCTGTATTACGCAAGTATAGGCATCTGTTACAAATGCAGTGGAAAAAAGACACTGAGGAAAACGACAAGAGTTGCAATGTGAAGAAAGTATTTGAAACATTTTCATGGAGTATTTGGGGAATATAAATTATTTGTGAAGGTTGTTTAATGTGGAAGTATATCCTGGTGGTGATTTATGGTGATTATTTTGTGTGCTGATGTCAACAGATCCTCACAACCTCCAGACACTCATTGACAAAGAACCTTGTTGATATCAGCTGGTCAGCCCAGAGTGGAAATGTATCATAAGCATACTGATGATATCCAGTCCTGTACTAACAATTTCCCTCTGTAGTATCATAAAGATGCTGGATAGGACTGTGGAGCTGTGAGGAATTCCACAAAACATGGTTCTCCTCCTTTCCCAACACTGGCTTGAACCACCCTGAAGGAAGGAGGTGAATCACTATAGCACAAACCCCAAATTCTCTACTCCCTAAACAACTCTGGAAGAATACCATGATCAACAGTATTAACAGCTGATAAGAGATCAAGAAGGGACAGGATAAATGCACCACTCCAGCTTGGTCCCACCAAACATAACATACAAGTCTATTTAATGCCACTTTGATATTGTATCCCAGTCTGAAACCTTATTGAAAAGAATTCAGATAATTCATTTCCTTTGGAGGAATTCATTTCCTCTGGAGTACAATTATTCAGTACCACTGAATCCAAGAATAGCTTATTGAGGAAGAGATGGATCATTGCCTTTTAAATACAGCAGAATCCCCCCACCCCACTCTCACAGAAGCATTTACCACTCTTTATCCTCCCACATGCCTTCTCCTGGGAGGCCTTACCCAACCAGAAACATGGATCCAATATGCAGGTGGCCATGCTCACAGACTCAAGGACCCTATCCACTTCCTCAGGACCAACAGGCTTGAACTCATTCCAGATAGCTATGCTAGAGCATGCCTCACTCAACTCTCTGGGATCTGTACATCCAGAATCTAGCTCAGAGAAGATCTGTGACTTTATCTGATTGATGCCTAGAACAGTCTTCACAGCAGGAATATAGATGTTCCTCCAGCCCATTCTTTCTGAGGAGTTACCAAGTCATCTTAAACAGGGCCACCAGATAATGCACATACAATAAGAACAGGAGACTCACTATGATTTGCCACTCTATCTTTACAAGGTAACTCTTAAGAAAGGCTCTTACCCATGGTCAATCAGATTTGCCTTCCAGCACTCTAGGCATTTTTTCATCTCTCAGAGTTATTCTAAAACCAAGGATTCATGGATAGAAAGAGTCTACACAGGGACAAGTCAATTCAGGGTCATCACCATTCCCTCACTCCAACTGTGGCCAAGACTTTGATCAAACTATGCATCGTAGCCATTAGGCAACTAGGCAAACCAATCAAATAAAGACACTGTGGGTGAAACAGATAAAATAAAATAGAAAACTAAGTAAACCCATCAAGGGCAAAAAGGTTTAAGACTGCATAAAATTACTGGGTGAAGAGGGAAAGAAGAGAAGCAAAGTTTTAATTCAGCTGACAAGCTCAAGTTATGGTTCCTCTTCTCGCTGTAGCAGAATTGTCTAAAAATACTAAGCATACATTTCTATACTTGTAAGTTCTACTTAATGCAATGAAAATTTCTCAACAGAAGTGTACAACATCATTGGGCAATAATGATCTGGAGAATAAGGAAACTTTCACAAAGATAAGCAAGCAGCCCTGTAATTCAAGCTCTCTTTATAATAGGTTTACCTAAGTACAGCAGTAGGCAAGTTTGTGGTGAAGGTTCAGAAATAAATCTGAGCCCCCCAAAAGGAGTTGCAACTGCATCCTTTACTAGCATGTATAGTGTGCCTCTGGGAATGATCAAAATCTTCATTTTCATTTTCCTCATAAGGGGAGAGTAACAGAATCATAGAATCAAAAGGAATAGCAATAGTAATAGCACTTAGATCTGTATACCACTTCACAGTGCTTTACAGCCCTCTCTAAGCTGTTCACAAAATCAGCATATTGCCCCCAACAATTTGGGTCCTCATTTTACCCACCTCAGAAGTGTGGAATGCTGAGTCAACCTTGAGCCTGGTGAGATTCGAACTGCCAAATTTGCAGGCAGCCGGCAGTCAGCAGAAGTAGCCTACAGTACTGCACTCTAACCACTGTGCCACTATGGCTCATAGGAGGTCATCAACTCCAACCTCTTGCTCAGCATAGATCTAACAGCATCTCTGAAAGATGACTACCCAATCCCTACTTGAAGACCTCCAGCAAAACAGAATTCACTACTACATTTGGCAGCCTGTTCCACTGGCAGACAACTCGTATAATCAGGAAATTCCTTCTGATGTCTAGCTTGAACCTTCTTCCTAGTAATTTTAATCTATTGCTTCTCATTTTACTGTCTGAGGTTCTATTTGACTCTTTTTCAGATTCTGAAGAGTGCCATCATCTCTCACTTCAATTGTCTGTAGGTTTAAAAAACTCTCCTTAACAATGAAGATACTGAAGTCACAGATTGCTTCTGCCCTTTAGGATCAACCATCAACAGTAAAGGAACCAGCAGTCAAGAAATACACCACAGAGTAAAAACTATGAAGGCCTTGGAAAAAATATTCACATGCTGGGAGGTAGCTACATCTATAACAATCAAAATCATGCAAGCTGTGGTATTCCATGTTGTAGTATACTTGTTTTGCATACTTGTAATACTGCATTCCTATTGGACAGATACCATCGCCTAGCGTTTGGTAGATAACAACAGTTCTGATTGGCCGCCTAAGCGGCGGGAGTTTTAAATAAATGCCATTGGTTGCGAGCCACGAGCAGCCACTATAAAAGGGGCTGCCGCGGCTAGACTTTAGTTGAAGTTACTAACAGTTAAATAAAGAGCTGAACTCAACTCCGGTCTCGAGTCTACTTTGTTCCAGCGATAGAACACATGTGACAGTCTATGTAATCAAATGTTGGATTTTGAAGAAGCACGGTAGGAAGAGCATTGACACTTTTGAACTTTAGTGTTGGAAAAGATTTGTCATAAAACAAATAAACTTAGAGTTCGCACTCAAGGCACAAATGAACAGATTCAGATTACAGTATTTTAGACATATATGAAGACTTACCTCTCAAGTTTATAACGCAGGGAAGGTGGAAGAAAAGAGAAGAGGATGACTTTAGGAGCAAGGTAGAAGGACTCAGTTACAACACTGATAGGCGCACCCCTAGAAGACCAGATGGCCCATATTGGGGACAGATTATCCTGGAGAGGATCTACCTACACGGTCACTAAGAATCAACATTGTCTTAATGACTCATAATTAATCAATCAAAACAAATCCCAGATCTCTTAATTGTTCTTCATAAGGCTTGATTTCTAGATCTTTTCAGGCTTGGTAGCCTTCTTCTGAATTCACCATATCTGTCACTGTTGAAACATTGTAGCCAACAGCCTAACTGCCCACCAATCCCACAAAAGTTGCTCTATGCGCAGCCTTTCCCTGCTTGCACCTAACTATGGCATTAATATGTTCCAGAAACCTCTTTTTTCTGCCATGTCCTCGTGTTCATCTAATCTGCTGCACATGCCTAAAGTATTCCTTAATTGATCTGATTTAACAGGAGTGCCTTCCAGTTTCAACATCCAACAAGGTTCAGTAATTTTCCTGGTGGGTATTCTGATATATTTCACTGGCCAATTGGTGCTAAAGTCAGTTGACCCCCACTGGGTGACATCAACCCGTCATCCTATTGGCCACTTTAGGCTGGTTTGGGCACACTCTTTCCTACCACTCCCTGGTCACTGTTTTTGAGGGGCATTCAGCAGCTGATCAGCAGTGGCAATGGGGGACTGTAGAGACACATAGGGAGGGTGTTTTCCCTTTGTCACCCCTTGACCTCTTGAACTGCTTTGGAAAATGGGTTTAGCACTTTACCAGTCAAATGCCTCGTTCTTCTCAAAACTTCGTTTCCTATCTATTAATGTAGAGTACAGAAACATCCAGTGAGAAGCAATGCAATTCATACAAAATGTTATAAATACTGGTGCCAAGAAGTTCAATACTTTGAAACCTGAACCAATTGCTGAAAATAAGCACAGCTACGCAAGGGTCTCTGCAGATGGGAGTCAGCAGTGTCAAAGCAATCAAAGTGCTGCCCCCTTTGGATGGGCACTGCACACTTTGCAGACATGAAAAAGAGATTCAGCTGCAACCTCTCAATCTTATGCACCGTTTTGATGCTGTTCCCCTCCTCCCTGCTGCAGACATTCATTAGCTTTTTTTTTTTTTTTTTTTTTTGAGTCTTGGAGAGAAACAAATATCAGGACTTATCCTATATGCACTGAAATCTCTCCGACCCTCCAAATTCTTCTGAGAACTCAATGCCATCGCTTGTACATCTTCAACCTTAAAAACTAAGAAACACAGTTACTGACAATGGCAGAACAGAGACAATGCTCAAACTAAAGGCCTTGGGAGCTGCAGTCAAAGCCAAATGAAATCATTCAGTGGCTTTTGGCTGGGTACATAGAACCATCGCTTTTGAAGGAACAACTGAAAGTATGAATGACTTTGCCCTTAAAACTATTTATAGCCAAGCCAACAGGAACAGCAAACCAACCCCTCTCCAGCAGCTTCTTTTTTATAAGCAACAGAACCCCCTCCTCAAAGAAGGCAAATGGGGAGGGGGCACTTCTTTTCTGCCTGAACTCAGGAGCAAAGGCCTGAAGGGGGTCTGGGCATCCGGTTCCCACCGCCAGGCAGTTCTTGCAGCCACATTGCCGGCACGTGACAGGAAACCCAGCAGCTTATCCTCTCTTCCCAGCTGCTGCAGTAGCAGCCCCTTCAGGCTGAGATGGCCGAGATGCCTCTTCACTCCTGCTCTGGGCTCCTTGGACTCCACTTCTCCCATGCCCTCCTTGCCTTCTGGTGCAGTAAGTGCTCTGAAAGGGGCCTGGACCTCTTTCCTTCATCAGAGCCCCATTTTCCTCCAGATTTCACTGTCCTCCCTTGACCTAATTCCTCCATAATTTCCTGATTTTGCCTTTTTCTTTCTCCTTCTTCAGCCTTTGTGGGCAGCGGCTCTGCTGTGACAGTGACCCAGACTCCAAGCTTTGCCAGTGACTCGACAGGGCAAAATATTTCCTTCAGGTGCTCTGTGGATGAAGCAGGCTACAGATTGTATTGGTATCAACAATTGCCTGGGAAGACAGAACTGAAAGTCCTTGGGTACCTCTCCAGTTTGGACCGTGAACTTCAACAAAAACATGAGGATTTCCAGAATCGGCTGAAAGCAAAGTGGGAAGACCAAAATAGCAAGAAGATGCATTTGGATCTGTTACGTCTTCAGGCGAATGATACAGGCTTCTATCTCTGTGCTGCTGTGTACACGTTGAATGAGGTAGGAATTGAGGCTGGTACAAAACTGAGTATCAGAATAAGCTTTCCCACCTTTTCTTAACTTCTTCTGATGTCATCTCCATGAAGCTATCTGATTCAGACTGCTGAGGCCACTCTGGAAACCTCACCTCTACCCATCGTCTCCAATCATAGTCTCTCTGGATGAACAAGATTATCACTTCCAAGCTGGTTAGGGATAATGGTAGTTCTACTCCAAAGCATCCAGTAGGCATCTGGTTGGGAAGGATTCAAATACTGAGGACACCCAGACAGCCTAACACAAATTCATTTGCATTGTGCTAGAATTAGCTCAAAACCATTCTATAAAAATTCCATGGTATGAAATAATATAACATCAGTTCCCACATTATTCCAAGCAATAATGTATAGTTGGTTGTTGTTGTTGTTTTTACTTAGTGTATGGTGAATTCAGTCCCTATGGTTCTTATAAGTTAGCATATTAATGGTGGTTTTTCAATATATCATGATTAAATACACAAGACCTATGTTATATGTAAAACTGGTCACCAAATGCCTATTTTGTTCTTGAATATGATTGTGGGCAAAGACATTATATCTTCCACTAAAGAATCAGCCTTCATATGTCTGAGATTTGAGGTAAAGAAGGTTTGTATAAGCATGAATGAAGAAGAACAATGAATGAATGAAGAAGCATGTTTGTATTCTTGCATAATAGCTTGCATTTTCTGTGGAAACATAAAGTATTGGACTCAGCATCTCTTTCTCCCAGCTGCTTCCATGTAAGGCTTATTGTACTCCATCCACCAGTGAATAAGTCTGAAAGAGAGATTCAGCCATCCAGAAGAACTTTGTGACTGAGAATCTTCACATTGTCAGGTTGGACCTGGGAAAGTTGGTACTAAATTTAAGTAACTGGATGAAAAGAATATGCTGCTCCAAACTGGAGGGAAAATGGTACTATTGGAACCCAGTGAGCCTCTTTACGAAAGGAATTGAATAGCCAAGGTCCCACTGCTGAGAAAATTTGGTCATCCTTTGGCTTTCTGTTTGTCTCCAGGAAAGAAAATATTGAAGCAGGATAAATTAACATATTCAGAGGCATTCTTCAAAAATTTGGGTTTAAGGACTGAGAGGATGCTAAGAAAAATAACCTGCAGCTCAACTTCAACTTCTTCTTTGGATTAAGCCAATTATTTAAAGTACTGGAATTCAAATTACTCTTTGGAGGGATGGCTTCTCTTTTTTGAAATATATAAGTAGTCCTCGACTTACAATGGTTTGCTTAATGACCATTCAATGTTACAGTGGCACTGCAAAATGTGACTTATGACCATTTTTCACAGTTATGACCTTTGCAGCATTCTATGATCATGTGATCAAAATTCAGATCTTAGCAACTGGTTCATATTTATAACCATTGCTGTGGTTATAAATATGATGATGATCCAAGTGATCATCTTTTGCGACCTTCTGACAAGCAAAGTGAATGGGGAAGCCAAATTCACTTAACAAACAGGTTACTGTGATGATCCAGGGGGTGGCACAAAGGCAACATAGTCAGATAATCAGTAGGAGTCCCTTTATTAGCTCCAACTTTGCCCCCAATGTCCTGATTACCTTTTGGCTGGAGGAAAACTCTCCCAGGAACAGCCTTTGGCTGTAGAGAATCAAGTCCAAAACATGGTTAACAAAAACTGTAACTGTAAGTCCAATCAAGGCAAGATGTGGTAACTAGTCCAGCAGGGCAGGAGAAGGAATTCCAGATGTGAAGGAACGGCAGCAATTCAACACGGTTGGGAGGATGCCAGGAACGCAGATAACCAAAGTCAATACAAGATAAATTCATGTTTGTTCCCAACAGACGCCACACTCAGCATGCATCTCTTATAAAATCTCTTCCCAGGTGTGGCTAATGAAGAGAATCAGGGCCCTTTCCTCCCCCGTAAGTCATGCAACCCACATTGCTCTCTTCTCTGTTCCTCCCTACATGCCCTAGGATGAAGAGGGGGTGGGCCTGGGTCTTCCTCTGAACTCCCTCTCCCTTGTTCTACCTCTTCCCTGCTCTGCCCAGCCGGACTTTGCCCTTCCCCAGTTTCCTCCACAGCCAACCGAGCCACTTCCTGTTAGCTGTTCATCTTCCTCCTCAGATTCAGACTCCAACAGGGGCATGACAGGTTACTACCTTATGAACTGTAGTGATTCAGTTAACAACTGTGGCAAAAAAAGTCATAAAATGCCTACAGATTGAGGACTACCTGTATCTTTATTCTGACATGTATTGTGGCTTGGAAACTCAACAACTGGTAATTGAACAGCTGGTCCTCTGAGGGGTTGAGGATAATTCTGGGAATGACTGCAGTGACCAGCTCATGCCTGTCCCAGTAGGCTATTTCTATCCCTTTTCTCATCCTTTTTTCTTTTCTTTTTTGGCCATTGTGAAATTTTTAGTAACTGTTTGGTGGGGGTGGAGTTTAAAAGAGAGAAGGGTTTACACTCTAGAACTGGAACATGCAAGCAGAGACAAAGCCTCCTTCTCTTTTTAGCAAGATGGGGTCAGCTGGACAGCAAGCAATTAAAGTCATAAATGTTGCTCAGCGCAATTTAATGGTGAATCTGACAACGTCTGGAGAGAAGCCCATCAAGACTGAGGCTGTTATAAAAGGCAGCCTGAACATGGAGGGTGCTGCTGTTTACTGCCCTAGTTTAGTATGGCTTCCTTAAGAATAAATAGTCATGTCCAGGATTATTGCTCTACTCCAGGGGTGATTTCATTGAGGGCTACATCAGGGTTGTGTTTGACCTCAGGGGGTTGGGGTGGGCATGGCCAGGGTGGGCATGGCCAGCTTAATGTCACTTGTGTTGGGAGTGCCTGTGGTGGCCCGAGCACTCTGCCAGTGAAAATGGACTCCCGAGCTCCGTTTTCGGCTGCGATGGCCTGCAACCCTCTGCCAGCAAAAACAGAGCTCCAAAGGGCGACCCGCGGCTCTCATGAGCTCTATTTTCTCTGGCAGAGGCACTGCCAGATGGTCCTTCACTGTTTCCAGGGCAGCCCCACGGGCCAGATATAAGCACCCCACAGGCCAGATCTGGCCCCTGGGCCTTGAATTTGACACCCTTGCTCTACTCTATCAAATGGGCTAGATCAGAGGTCTTCAAACTTGGCAACTTTAAGACTTGTGGACTCAACTCCCAGAATTCTCCAGCCAGATATTCTGGGAGTTGAAGTCCACAAGTCTTAAAGTTGCCAAGTTTAGGGAACCCTGGGCTAGATATTCAGAAACTGTTAAAAGTTGATATTCAGAATGGTCTATGATAATTCACTGCAGCCAACTCATAATAACCAACTCGCCACGGCTAACTCGCCACAGGACAACTCACTGTGGAACAAAAGTTACACTAATATCAAAGAAATGGTAGAATAGAATAATTAAAGAAAGGATGCAAAAGGAGGAAGAGAATGAAATGTGAATGACCAAAATTAAAATATTTTTAATTTATTTTAAATAATTAACTTGAATTGTCCCATGGTGAGTTGTTTTGCAGCAAGTTGGTCATGGTGATTGGTCATGGGTGAGTTGGCCATGGTGAGTTGGCTGCGGCGAGTTGCCCCATTCCGAATTCAGCAATGTCTGCAGTCCAGAATCTGCCTATCCAAAGCTTGCATGCTTATTTACACACATCCCTACCTAGGGGGAAGTCTCATTGTACTCACTGAAATATCTGAACAAACATGCTAAGAAAAATGAAACCTGCTCAGAATTAGTGATTTCCCTGATTGTTTTCCACGCACAATGGCATCACAAACAGGACCAGGAAATCTAATCAAGGAACTACATTGGGTGGTAAAGCACATAGTGGGGTCCATTGTTGCAGACAGGAAGTAGTAGTGGGCTCAGTAGACCCAAAGCTACCCCAGAGAGGGGAATAGAGCAGGGTGGTGTATCAAAGTTACTGGCCCAGCCTGGGATGAGCTGCCCTCATTGGTGTGATGTCTCTAATCTCAGAGTATTTCTAAGTGACTTTGAAGCATTCACTTAGCCGACTTTTGTGACTTTTGAATAGAACTGTTCCCATGTCAATAGAGAACTGGGAGGAAAGAGAGTTGAGAAAGAGCTGCTCTGAATGATCAGGAGTATTTGTGATGGTGGTGACAATGATGATTATAATTGCAAGGGCCTCATGAATGATGGGAGTGCCATGAGACGAAGGCTCTTTTTTCCCCTTTGCAACTTCAATGGGGGCCAGTATGCTTTCTCATTGCCCCACCTGAATCCCCACATTCCTCCCTGATCTCATGTACCTATCCTGATCTGTTTCTCAGCCCAGCACTGAACCAGCTGCAATCGTCACTTGGCATTCTGAATTAAAAGTAGTTTTTTCTGCACGGACCCTGTTACAACAGTAGTGTAACAATATTATAATCTATGTGGGAAGCAAGTAACTTAGGTGGCAGCATGCTTCTGAGTATGTGTAGTTATAGGTGTAGTTAGGTGTAGTTATAGCCCGGTAGAGTCCCAGCCCTTCCCTCTGTTCCTTGGACAGCATCACCACCCCATTTCCACTTCCACATAAGCAATATATGCCCCCTCCTGTCCATTTTTAAAATCAAATTGACTCAAATGGGAAGTTTGCTTTTAATGTTATACTTTGCTTTTAAACGAATAACTCATTAAATTGGGGAAATATTTCTATATTAAAAAGATTGCAATGATGAAGGTATATTTTCTGATACTCCATAAGGAAAAGGGACGATTTCTTAAAATGTAAGAAAATATGTTCAAATTTAATCAGCCTGCCACTCATTGCCAGAAGGAAAGGCTATTTTGAAATATTTTCTTTCTCAAGTTTAGCAAAACAGAATCATATTTCTTATTATAGCAACCTCACAAAATGACTCCAAAAATGAACACGCTCAACTTCCAGCATAGTTAGAGAAACGCTTGCTTTAAAAGATGTACTGACACTTTTATTTCAGACCAGCAACCAAAATAGATGCTGAGTTTAGACATACTAAATCACACTTGGTTCAAATCATAGTTTATTCAGTAACCATAGAAACTTAGTCCATACAAAACACTAAACCAGAGATGGTTGGCAGGGCCAATCTGAACAGATGGGAACAATCGGCTCAAGGGTCACAGGCTGTCCATTCTTCTGCATTGCCATTTGGAGACCCAGTGAAGAAGTCACTTAAAGCCTAGCCAAGCCCCAGCAAACAACATCATAATTTGGCAACGATGAACCCAATCTAGCGCCAATTGCTTGCATTCCTACTGAAAACATGAAGTCTCACCTGGAGATGGCAAACACCTGTTAACCTGCCAGGAAAACCCACTTTTAAGTTTCCTCTTCATCAACGTGCTACAGTGAAGGCAGTAGCACATCTGCATTGCCTGTACAGCCTTGGATCTCTCAGGAATCTTCCTGATGTAGTCGAGGATAGGTTTAATTGGCAATTAAAGCTTTGACAGATTAATCACATTAGTGCCCTGTTCCA